GGGTGGCCCTGGCCGCACAGTGGTAAACAGCTGCCACATTTCACCTCAGAGGTGGCTAGATTTCATTAATGGGGCAAGTGATCCCTACATCTGTGTAAAGCCTGATTTATTTCCCATTTAAATCAATGCTTCATCTGGGGGCAGGGTTAGGCCCATAGCACATGAAGTGTTTTGGGATCCTTGAAGACACAAGAGAAACATAAAACACTGTTATCAAAGCCAGACGCTCACAGGGAAAGGAGTTGCAAAGAGACCATTGGCTCAAACCCATCTGAGTGGTCATGTGGACGCTCCAGATGGAAAATCTGAAGCCATGTACAGAATGCTACATCTCCTTGATATGTTTGTTTCCAAGCACTTTATGTCCCCTGTATGTTTGCAACTTTGCTTTGTTTGCTAACCTTGTTATTGCTGAGGGAGATTGCTCAGAAACACACCTGCACTGCACAGGTGCTCACCCAAATTTCTCCATCTCTAAGACTAAGGTCTGCTTAACCAAAGCCTGCATCCACTTCATGCAAGTAGGCCCCTCTGTACCCTCTCCTCTTTGGCCATCATTGGAGCAGCCTCTACAGAACACACTCCCTTCTCCTCTCTGACATCAACTCAGCTTGCAGATTCATCAGTATGCTTGTTCCCATAAGAATTAGGTTGACCTCATGTATGAATTGCCTACCTAGTAAGTGTCACCTCTGGGGTACATGGAGGGAGACCCAAGGAGACATTTTTTTCTGGAGAAACACTGAGGGATCTGGTTGAGTGGGGAGATATTTGGGTTTTCATGTCTCATTTTGGAAGCTTCACCTCCCTTATGTGCTAGAGGAATCTAGCAAGAATGTTTACATAGGTGACAAAGCTCCTCCAACACAAACCACTGGGACGCGTCAGCATGTGGAGCTGTGCAGTCTCCTAAGACAGTGGTTTTCAAACCTTTTTCCTGGTGAAGAAAATTGTTGATGTCTGTGACCCAACGGAGCTGGGGGTGAGAGGTTTGGGGCGTTGGAGGAGCTCAGGGCTGGGGAAGAGGGTTGGGGTGCGGGATGGGGTCAGGGCTCTGGGCTGGAGGTGTAGGGTCTGGGGTGGGGTCAGGGATTGGGGGGATTGGGGTGCAGGGTTGTGGTGGCATGGGCTTACCTCATGCGGCTCCCAGTCAGCGGCGCAACGTGGGTGCTAAGGCAGGCTTCCTGCCTGTCCTGGCACTTCAGACTACGCTGCGCCCTAGAAGTGGCCAGCACCAGGTCCGGCTCCTAGGTGGAGGTGCGCAAGCGGCTCCGTGCAGCTCTTGCCCGCAGGTACTGCCTCCCCCAGCTCCCACTGGAACCAGCCAATGGGAGTGCGTTGCCGGTGCTCGGGGCGGGGGCAGCATGCGGAGCCGCGTGGCCCCCCTGCCTAGGAGCCGGACCTGCTGCTGGCTGCTTCTGGGGCGCAGCGCAGTGTCAGAACAGATAGGGACTAGCCTGCCTTAGCCAGGCAGCACTGCTGACAGGACTTTAAACAGCCCCCATCGATGGTGCTGACCAGACGTGCCGCAACCCAGTGCCTTGCATTCTGCAACCCATACTGGGTTGTGACCCACTGAAAACCACTGTCCTAAGATGTGCTAGCTCATTCATCACGTCTTATATGCTGCCGCCTAAGGCTCAGAAAGAGGGACCTGTGCAGGCTTTTACATTGACTATCTCACTAACAGAAAGGAACTGTGTCACTCTCAGGACTTGTCGACACAAGAAAGCTGCACCAGTTTAACCTCTGCTGTGACTTTTGAACCAACTTAGTTAAACGGGTGCATAAGGCCAGGGCTGGCTCCAGCGTTTTTGCCGCCCCAAGAGGCAGAAAAAAAAACCCCGCGATCAGCGGCACTTCGGCGGCTGCTCTACTGCCGCCGCTTATTGGCGGCAATTTGGCGGCAGGTCCTTCCCTCCAAGAGGGACAGCGGGACCTGCCGCTGAATTGCCGCCGAAGAGCTGGACGTGCCGCCCCTTCCCCTTGGCCGCCCAAGGACTTCCTTGCTGCGCTGGTGCCTGGAGCCGGCCCTGCATAAGGCTGTGTGGATGCTCATAGTTCCATTTAGCTAAAGTCGATTCCTTCTTGAGCTGAGTCCTCCTGCTTTACACTTAACTACAAGTGTCCACACAGCCCTGTACACTGGTTTAACTAAACTGGTTTTAAGTCACCCCTTAGGGTGCCCCTTTCTCATGTAAACAAGGCCTCATTTTAGGGTGCACCTTTGGGTGTGCCAGGTCCTTCTCAAGTGAGCATGTTCATTTGACTGCCCCTGCTCCACCTGGGAGAGCCCTGCCTAGCAGCTGGGGCAGCCATTTCAAGGTAGGAGCTGATTATAAAGAGTTCCTGGCTTCCTCTTTCCCCAGATCAGCTGGGGAGAGGAAACCTGTGCTGGGACCCAACCAGCTCCTCTGTAAACTCAGCAGGTACGGTAGTGTGTGCCAGCTGGCAAAGGTGCCAGATTACCAGTGAGAATGAGCCTGTTGCTCAGGGTGCAGGAAGGGGTACTGCTGTTGCTCAGGGTACGGGGGGCTAGCTGCAGGCTGACTCCTGTCACTCAGGATAGGGGGGTTGAGTGAGGGACTGATCTCAGGGCTAGCAAGCAGCAGAAGGAGTGACGCTTGTCACTCAAGGCAGGGAGATGGGCAGGAGCTGACCCTGCTGCTCAGTTTTATGCGGCAGCAACAGCAGTGGTGGTGACCCCATTCCCAAGCTGCCCTTGTTTATACATAAAGGGTGTTTGATACTTTACAGCGTGCTGTCTCATTCAAATGAAGGAAGCAGCTGGCAAGAGCCGGAGATGATTTTCTGTCGCTGAGTCTCAGATCCTGCCCGTGACCCTGAGGCATAATAAACCATTCACAGCAGCATGACCCCTTGCCACAGGAGGCTAGTTCCCTCCTCATCCCTGCCTCCTGCTCTGGGAACTGGCCAGGCAAGCCCTGCTCCTCCTGGCCCCAGGCATCACCGGCTGGGCCTTGGTAGTCAGTCATGTGGCTGGCGTCAGCCTCTGTTTGGAAGTGCTGCTGCCGCCAACAGTTTGGCCTGGAGCAAATGGCATCCCTGAATTGCCGTGGCCCTGCAGGACAGGAGCACAGGAACTGATGGTCTCTTTTAAGGCTCCAAATTTCAGGGAGAAGCTGTTTAAAAATGGGACATTTGGGCACTTTACAGACATGCCTGTGAGGCTGTACATGGAAGCATGTGCCAGGGGCTTGAGCACAGGATGGGGGATCAGGAAGCCATGGTCCAGATACCAGTGCTTAAGGAAGGCTCTGAGAAGGTAATGTGTCAGCCCCATGTCTCAGTTTCTCTATTTGTAGTGAGAATAATGCTAGATCCCTGTTTCCCAGAGGCCTGTGAGAAGTAATTATTTATTTGCAGTTATAGTTAGCTGGGCTCCCTCACCTGTTTGATGCATCCACCTGATGTCTCTCAGGTTCCACTTGGATTGTAATCTCTTCAAGGCAGGGATTGTCATCTTGTTCTGTGTCTACAATGCCTTCCTTCATTAGCTCACACAGCCCAACTGGGGTCTCTAGGCCATATTGCAACAATAACAACCATCAAGTCAGTATAATTAAAAACAGAACTCTGCTTTTTAAATATACCGGGGGCACTAGCCAGGATATAGCTAAGAGCCTCCCAGCTCCAGCTGTGATCCAGCTGCTTTGCACCACGCAGCTGTCTGAGCCTCACCAAAGGCTTCCTTCCTTTCCAGGCTTCTCTCTCTCCCACCAGCTGGGAAATTCAATCCAGGACAAGCAGGGCTGGCTCTAACTTTTTTGCCGCCCCAAGTAAAAAAAAAAAAAGAGCGCCGCCCCGCTGTAACGCCCCCCCCCCAGTGCCGTGCCGCCGAAACACCCCACTGAGCACCGCGCCGCTGAAACAGCTTTCCTGAGCGCCGCGCCGCCGAAACAAAAACAAACCCCCCCCCCCCGAGCGCCACCTGGCTGAAACAAAAACAACAACAAAAAACCCTCAAGCGCCGCCCCACCGAACCAAAAAAACAAAACAAAAAAACAACCTGCGCGCCCCCCACCACCCCAAGATTGGCCGCCCCTTACAAGGTGCCGCCCCAAGCACGTGCTTGGTCGGCTGGTGCCTGGAGCTGGCCCTGAGGACAAGGCTGAAAAAATGGAAATGGCCCCATCAAGGGAAATACTTTGGCTTCTCAGGGGCTGTATAAACCCCTTCTCGATAAGGAAAAGAGAAAAAAATGTGTCTTTCCTTTCTCTGGAGAAGGGTTAGGAACAAGATGCTGCAGTGACTTACAGCACAGAAACAGCAGAGCTAGGTGGGCATATATTCCGGGCCGGCTCCAGACAGCAGTGTAGCAAGCAGGTGCCTGGGCGGCCAATGAAGAAGGGGGCGTCATGTCTGGCCGTTTGGCGGCAATTCGGCGGCGGGGGCGGCCCTCCCTCTCGGAGGCGAAGGC